TGGGGTGCAGCTGCGGGGACTGCGGTGGTGGGGTGAGGTGTGGGTGTGGGTGCAGGTGTGGACACAGGTACGAGTAGAGGTGCAGGTGTAGGCAAAGCTGTGGGTGGGGGTACAGCTGCAGGTGTAGGTGCAGGTGTAGGTGTAGGTGCAGGTGTAGACATGTGTACGGGTACAGGTACAAGTGCAGGTGTAGGTAACGGTGCGGCTGTAGGGGCAGCTGTAGGGCCAGGTACAGGTATAGGCATAGCAGCACGTACAGGTATAGGTGTGGGTGTAGAGGCAGGTGTAGGTACAGGTACAGGTGTAGGTACAGGTGTAGGTGTAGGTACAGGTGTAGGTGTAGGTACTGGTGTGACTGTAGGTACAGGTGTAGGTACAGGTACAGGTGTAGCTGTAGGTACAGGTACATGTGTAAGTACAGGAATGGGTGTAGGTACAGATGTAGGTGCAGGTGTAGGTACAGATGTGGCTGCAGGTACAGGTAAGGGTGTACAGGTGTAGGTACAGGTGTAGGTACAGGTACAGGTGTAGGTGTGGCTGTAGGTACAGGTACAGGTGTAGGTACAGGTACCGGTGTAGGTGCAGGTACCGGTACTGGTGCAGGTACCAGTGTAGGTATGGGTACACATACAGGTGTAGGTTTGGGCAGCCTGTTCCAGCGCTTCAAAACTCATTCAATAAAGAAATTTTTCCTAATATCCAATCTGAACCTCCTCCGATGCAACTTGAGGCCATTGCCTCTCGTCCTATTGCTGGTTACTTGGGAGAAGAGACCAACACCCGCCTCACTACAACCTCCTGTCAGGTAGTTGTAGAGAGCGAGAAGGTCTCCCCTCAGCCTCCTCTTCTCCAGACTAAACAAACCCAGTTCCCTCAGTTACATACACCTACCTCTGTAAAATACACTCTATGTGCCTGCCAGGCTCGCTGCGGACTAATTAGAGCCCGTCCTGTCAACAGAAGAGGACAATGCCAGCAGCATGGATGCACATGACACCTCCAGGGCACACGGAGTGGACAACAGATGGAGAACGAGCTAATGACCTGGGCACCAAGCTGAGCGACAATGCACTGCTTACTGGGAGACGTCAGATACGTGGCCAAACGGTACTGGTAGAAGAGAGAAACGCCTCGGAGAGTCTGCACGGGGTCTTCCGAATCACAAGGAGCAAGATTTGGAGCTGGTCGTGGCAGAACCTGAAGCTATGACTCTGGAAATCAAAAACCTGCTGCTGACCCCAAACTGAAGTCACAGTCTAAGGCCACGGGACTGAAGAGCTGAGCAAGGAGCAAAAAGGGATCAGCAATACGGTAGCAAATTGAGTTTGGATCTGAAATTAAGGAACTTGCTTATAAAATATATAAAAAACAGTAACAATAAAGGTGATTTTGATTACACTGCTTTGTTAACCTTTCAAAAGCATGAAAAAATTAGCAGAGAGCAAGAGTATGCGTTTGTGTGTGTCTGCCAGAAAGGGTTTCTGTACAATTACAGACCCTCTGGTCAGTATAGCTCTCGGCGCTAGAATATTTGGGGGGAAAAAATCCCATTTAAAATATACTTGGTCTTTCTCAAGCTTTTACAACTCTCTACCTTTGTTTGCCTTGCTTAGCAAAACCAGCTGGTATTAACTGCGCTTCGTACACCGCCACCACGAAGAGCAGCCAGGGAGGCTGTGGAGTCTCCTTCTCTGGAGATATTCCAGCCCCGCCTGGCCGCGGTGCTGTGCCCCCTGCTCTGGGTGACCCTGCTTGGGCAGGGGGCTGGGCTGGGTGACCCACAGAGGTCCCTGCCCACCCCTGCTATGCTGGGATGCTGAGTTTAGGTGCTTTAACACCGGGTGCACTGGAAGACAAGCCCTTCATTGCTGCACATCTGGCTGCGTTTTGGAGAGTGATTCCCTTTGTTCTTGTTGATGTGATAAGAGTGTTCTTCCTGAAATAACTGCTGTAACTGGTCGTGTATTTATTTATAATATTAATGAGCTTTCAAGAAAACACATGTAAAATCCAGAGGCGTAAACCTGTGCTGAGGCACTGGTTGATCGAGCTGTGCCTGCAGGAAGGTGCAGGGATCGGACAGGCGGGTGGAGGTGCTGGACGCTCGGCAGAAGGCAGTGACACGGTTTAATGACTAAACTGCTCCTGGAAGTCTGACGTCCCCTCTGGGCTTCTGTGGGTTTTTTCCTCGAATGAGAACAGAGGTTTTTGATTCTTTGTCTTATTTTAAAGAATAGGTCTTTTCTGGCCAAAATTGGCTGGTGTTGCCCTCGTTTATTGCCCCGTGTTATCTTGTGAGCTGGTTGCTTTCCTGGCCTCCTGGGCTGACTGCAGCTCGGGAGAAAAGCAGAGGGCAGCTTCTCCGTGTGAGGCTGATACAGGAGTGCGGAGAGTAGGAACTGAAGTCATTTGCAATAAGGACTTTAAATAAACCCCAGCGGTTTCTTCATCTGCAGCAGCCTTGTGGTATTCGGGATAGATTTTTCTCTAAAAAAAAAAAAATTAATTCTGCAAGGGGATTTTTTTGTGGCAGTGTAGTTAAAAGGGCTGTGTTTACCCCAGCTGTTGTGAATCTGTGAGGGGTGGCTGGAGGCTGGTGTCAGGGCGGGGAGCGGTGACCCAGCTGAAGAACCCAAAACCTGAGGCCAGGTCAGGCGGCAGTGCCTGAGGCCAAGCCTCACACCCTCCGTCTCCTGGAAACAAAATCGTGCCGAGATTTCCCGTGTGAAATCCCCTCCTATTTGCATCTAACGAACTTCTCCTCTGCTCTCCTTGAAGCGGCGCCGGGTGCTGCGGAGGCGGGCGATGGGGCGATGCGCGCGCCTCTCCTCGGGCGCGACGGGCAGGGGGCCGTCCTGGATCGCCTGGAGT